ACCTCTCCGCCCGCAGGCCCCCCCAGCAGCGTCAAAAATTCTTACGACTTGGGCCTTTTTTTTTTTTTTTTTTTTTTCATTTGCTGTGCCTCGACCGCAAACCATCTACTGCCAAATATAGCCATCTGGCTTGCAGCATCTTGAGCTGCCGCATCCCATTATCGAATAGCCGGCTAGCTCTGGCGCCAGCGTTCTGATTTCCCAACTGCTTACCTTGCTCCGCCCGTAAGCCTCAAAGTGGTCGAACAGTGTCATCTACAGTTCGTGGTCCACGCCTCCCTTCAGCCCACCAGGCCAGCCCATCCAACCAACACCCTTCCGCTTTCATCCCGGGACCCTTCGATTGAACCCACGATTGTATCTCGAGCTGAGCTGAGCAAGGCCGGGCTTGACCTCAGACACAAACACCTTCTGAAGCCTCTCAAGTCGTCAGGTAACGGCATCGTCTTCGTTCGCCACTCGCTCGCAGCTACGTCGACACTGTCCGCGGATACCTCTGTCAGTGTTTGCTCGGCGAGGTCGTCTCGCCGTCTAGGATGCTGCAGATGCATGGCGGGCAGCAACAACAACAACGTATGTGCTACCCACCAGGACTACGGCTGCTGTAACCAACCACATCTTTGCTGACTGTGTTGTTTCCTCCATCCCAGACACCGATGATAGCACCGGCGAGGGGGATCGAGGACGCGGCAAACTAGTGCCTCCGTTGTCATTGCCAAAGAACCGAAGCACCGGCAATCTCGCCCTCTCCGCCGACGCGACGGTCGACCGGAGCCGAAATCGCATGTCATTTGGGGGCACATCAACCTCTGCCACGGAATATGATGCACTTACAAGGTTCGACCTGTCTGTTCATGGCTCCAATTTTACATCGGTCGTGAAACCACTTGACTAATGCTGGGCTTTCATCGTCGTCCTGCGAATGCAGGCCCTCACATATCAACGACCATGAACATGGTGCAGGAATCACTGGACTGCGGCGCATTCGCCAGCAGCACCCACCGTCTCGAGCTCCAACCATGTCCAACTCGAATGCCTCATCCCGAAGTCCGTCCGTCGTCGCACTGTCTCGCTCAACCTCCATGAGCGCCATGCTGGCCGGCACCGCCGGTACGCAGCACACTGCAGGACCGGCCTCGCCCAGTTTCTCTGAGGATTTGTCGCGATTTCCTTCCGAGTCCCTGCACTCGTTTTCCTTTGCTCATCAGTCAGAGGAATTTATACATAATAGGCAGACTGTATTGAAACGTTCCATGGACTTTATGAAGGATCGAATGGGTTGGCCCATGAGCTCGGCGCAGGCAGGGCTCGCCAGCGCTCACGCTCGTGTCACAGGCGATGTCGATACCCAAAACATGCTGGAGCTGCTTGCAAGAGCACAGCTAATTGGGGCTGGAAACTTGCCGAACCCGGATCCAGCAGCAGGTACAGCTGCACCACTGACTGGGCCGGCCGATGTGACGGGTGAAAACATTTTCGAGAAGCAATTCATGCCACAACTTTCTCGAACCAGCACCACGGCATCTGATTCTGCGTCGCCATTCACCGCACAGATTCAGGCCCCGAAGTCGCCCCTCGTTCGATTCCAAACGTCTGATGGCGCTGGCGTAGAGACTCTCCCCGCAGTTCCAGAGCTGGAACACGAAGTCTTGACTTCAATTGGGGACCAAGAGAGGCTGGATGACGAAGAATTGGACCCAAAGGCGAAGCCCATGTGCCGGCCCATGAGTTTGAAGCGCACAATGACTGATACCCTCGGCATTGCCTTGCAAGACAAGCTCATGGACACCATGGCACAGCCATTCTTGGCAGGCCAGCCAATGTATGAAGAACCAATTACTTCGCCAACAACAGCGACAACCTATGCTGGGCCGCCTACAAAGACTTTCCCGAGTGCGCTTAGTCCCACTCCCCATGGCCATACAAACCGATGGGTGCCTGCCGCTCAAGCTATCTTTACCACCGAGGCTAAACCACCATGGACCATCATTGCAGCCAACGATCTGGCCTGCCTTGTGTTTGGTGTCACAAAGGCTGAAGTGCGTAAGATGGGCATTTTGGAGGTGGTCCAGGAAGAACGACGGGCCTGGTTGGAACGAAAACTCCTGCGAACTGACGAAGAATCCGAAGATGATGCCAAAGAAGGAATAGTGCGGGAGAGCCCTGCGTCTTCTGTAGCCTCAACGTTGCTTGGGGGCCTTTCAGGTGGGATCACAGCACAGCTTCTGAGCAAACCAAATTCACGCTCAAAGCCGTCCAAATTCGGACAAAGACGAGCACAGACTGTGCATAGTGGCGACCCTAATCCACCAACGACTAGAGGCACTGGACAGCATCGCAGTAACCTCTCAAGAGGCGTCCTCCTGTGCGGCGATGTTGTTCCAATACAGAAAAGGAACGGGGCGACTGGCTCTGCAAGCTTATGGGTGAAGGAAAAACGGGTTGGTTTGATATGGGTTTTGGAGGAGATCCATGAGGATGTTGCATACGTGACAATAGATGAGGAAGGCTCCGTAAAGGGCATTTCGGGAGCATCCGACACCATATGGGGATCTCAGGCTACCGGGTCGGACTTTGATGTGGCAAGACTAATACCGCGAATTCCTCGGCAAGGCATTGATCCCACAATTGGTGAGATTGATTTTGCCCAAATTGCAAGGAGGAAGTTCTTCACCTGCCCCAACGCCCATCGGATCAACATACCCTGCAGTGTAGAGCAGGTACGCGGAAAACTTGAGCTGCGTGTGTCAACCTTCCCTCACATGGCCGGTATTGTTGTTGTTGACCCTGTCCAACTCAAAATCCGGAGCTCTAATTCTGTCTTCTGTGGTGCCCTATTTGGCTATGAGAAACCTGATGGACTGCCCATTGACTCTCTTATTCCTGATTTTGATAAGATACTTGACATATTAACACAAGAGGACGGTCTACAGATGCTGGACGGAATGGTTGTCCCTGAGGCTAGGTTTAGAAGGGCCTCGGCTTTTCTGGCCCTCAAGGAGCACCGTCCTGATGCCGCAGCACGATTCCTCCAGCCGGATGGCCTGCCTGCGAGACATCGCGACGGGTCTGACTTGAAAATTGACGTTCAGATGCGTGTTGTGGAGAGTGAAAAGCAGACAAATATCGCCGAACAGACAGTCAATGAAGGAAGCGATGAAGATGAGGCAAACAGCGGCGATGAGTCTTTTTCGGTCTCTCACAAAGAGATGGTATTTGCCTTGTGGATCACGTATTCACGGCACCTACATGCCCATGCTCGCCTGAGTATTGACTCACCTGCAACGTCAGGGACCACCACACCACTCCATCAACCATCCCCAGGACAAACACCTCCCGTACACACTCCCATTGAAATCGCTTCAGATGATGACTCTCCACCGAAGAAGGAAGAACGAGTGGCGACTACGCTATCGAGGCAACTCAGGGACGTGGCTCTGAACGCAGCAGCGAAGCTTACGAGACAGCCGAAATCAATAGAAGTTAGCACCAGCGGAAGCTCCTCGCCGGCCAGGGCCGTCGAGCCTGCTCGGAAAACGACCATTGGTGACTATACCATTCTCGAGGATATGGGCCAAGGTGCCTACGGCCAGGTTAAGTTGGCCCGTCATAAAACATCGGGCAAGAAAGTCGTGTTGAAGTATGTCACAAAGCGGCGTATCTTGGTTGATACATGGACAAGAGACCGAAAATTGGGAACTGTACCCTTGGAGATCCATGTGCTGGATTACCTTCGGAAACCTGAATTCAGGCACCCCAACATTGTAGAAATGGAGGGATTTTTCGAAGACGATATCAACTACTACATTGAAATGGCCCCTCACGGACTTCCTGGCATGGACTTGTTCGATTACATTGAGCTTCGTGCGAACATGCAAGAGCCAGAATGTCGAAGCATATTTGTTCAGGTGGCCAAGGCAGTTCACTTCCTGCACGCAAAGGCGCTAGTTGTACATCGTGACATCAAAGACGAGAATGTCATTCTAGATGGAGAGGGCAACATCAAGCTGATTGACTTCGGAAGCGCGGCATACATCAAGAGCGGGCCCTTCGACGTCTTCGTGGGCACTATTGGTAAGTTCATTCTGAGCTGTGAGATGTATCGGAAAATTTGCTTTTCTGACGTATCTCGCAGATTACGCCGCTCCAGAGGTATTGGCAGGTAAACCTTACGCTGGCAAAGAGCAAGACGTCTGGGCACTGGGTATTCTCCTGTACACGATTATATACAAGGAGAACCCGTTCTACAGCATTGATGAGATCATGGACAGAGATTTGAGAGTCCCATTCACTATGAGCGAGGAGAGTATCGATCTTGTTCGCTGCATGCTCAACCGCGATGTCAAAGAGCGCTACGGTATTCACCAGGTGATAAACCACCCGTGGTGTAAGGCTATTGATTGAATTGAAATAGAGGTGTTGAAATACCAAGGGGATACGACAGTATTGGGGAATTAGACCATCGGGACATCGCGGCTTTCCTAAGCCAAGAGAAGCAATTTTAATGCGGCGTTATAAAACTGAAGCCGCTTGTAGCACACAAATCACGAGGGGTGCGCATAGAAGAGCTCACGACCGACAATTATACCAGGATCGAGATGAGACAAATGAGCGTAAGTGGATGTGGGTGCAACATGGTGCGCCATTAGAGGAATTGATATCCAGATATATCACGAACGGGAAGAGGTGCAGGGTGCCCATCTGGGGGGTATCTCCGGGATAATGGTCACACTATATATTTCCCATGGGAACGGCGTTAAATACTCGTCCAATTTGAGACCTAGTAGAAAGAGCAAAGGCTGAGTATAGGCGTACACAAAGAGCGCGAGACAGCAATAGCGTTCATTATATCGTATTTACATCTTGCCCATGCAAGACAAAAGCAGCATTTTCATCCCCCCCCCCAAAAAACACAACTATATAATATGGTAGTGGCATTGAACAGACAAGTCACCATCAAACAAATCTGCCCCAATACGCGAGGATATCACATCTCCTCATTAGTGATAGCTCAATTCTGGATTAGCCCTGAAGTTACATGTGCACCGACATTCGGGTACAGGACATTCCACATGCCTCGCAAACCACTGCCTCGCATGATCCAGATGAAGGACATGTTCGCAGCGCAGACAAAACGTAGGGAATCGTCCTGCCATTCGTGTAGACTCCTTCTCCTCGGGCTTATCTGATCGCGGCACCCCCACGACCTCCAAACATACGACACAGCGGGGTAGGTGCCTCCCACAGTTGGGGCAGCTTATCCCGGAATTGATGCTCGTTGCCAGCAGGGGGTTTCGCGTCTCCAGCGTCGGGTTGGACGTCGGCGGTGCAACGCCCTGGTTCGAAAGGGACGTTTCGGCGTCACAGTAGACGCATCGCAGGGCGATTTGGCGCGATGGCGGCTTCAGAGTCGGCACGCCGTCGCGTTTGGACCGCTTGGTGGACTCTACTTCGAATTTGGTCCGCTGGAAGAACAGCCTGTGTCTCTGGAGGTGGGCTCTGTAAGCGTTGCGCCATGCCCGGCAGCGAATGTCGTCTATGTAGCGGGGGTACGCGATGGACAGCACGAGGGTGGCTGTCTGGACGTCGTGGAATTTCTGTACATAGCGGGCGAATATGTCTACTAGCTTGTCCGTTATACCCGTTAGCGCGATCCCTTCGATGTCGCCCTCCTCTATGGCGAGTGAGACGTTCTGCTCGAGCCATTTGGTGAGTTGGCCATCGTCAAAGTTTCGTACGGCGACAATGGCACGGTCTGTGAGCGGGAGGGAGCGCTGGTTCGCAATGGCGCTCCAGTCTCCCGTTGCGATGAGACACGAGATGGCACGGAGGTAGGGGTCCGTTTTGGAGGCCACGGCGTCGTCGAGTTCGAGATGTTCCTCGGGGAGGCTTTTGCCTCCTCGGTCGAGGAGCTGGAGGGACAGGGAGACAAAGAGGAGTTCGGGGTGAACGGCGCTGGCTTTCTTGAGGATGGAGATGGCTTGCTCGGTATCACCGCGGAAGAGTGCGCGGGAAGCCACCATGGTGTGGATGGCTGTGGGATACTCGGGATCTGCTTCGCGGTCAACGCCGTTGGGGTCGTGTCGCTGAGGGTCGCCCCAGCTACAGATTTCAAGGCAGAGTTGGCGATGGAAAGGCTTCTTGGTGGGCACGGCATCAAATTTGGGGAGGCGACGCTTTTTGCAGAATTGGCCGATGACCCGTTCCCACTGAGCAGGTTCGGGGGAGGTTGCGCCCGGAGCGAGGCGGGTCATGGAGTTTTTGCCTATGTGAATTAGAATTTTGGCTTTGTTGAGAGACATGTTTTGAAGAGATATACCGAGGTCGTTTGTCCATATAGAATGGACGCCGAGATAGCTAAGGTCCATGTTCCCAAGGAGCATACCTCCGTCGTCCGCGGCCATTTCAGCATCTGTACTAATCTGTAAGCCAAACTATTCAGCTGTGTGCTGTGAAAGGCGAGTGTATTATATACCAGCTACCCAGTCCCATAAAAATCTCCGCCAGGAGTCATCGGATAATACAGTCCGGTTTGTGGCCGCATCAAAAAGATACTTCTCCTTGGCTCGGAGGAGCATTGAGTGGTCAACCACGCATTGAGCTTCCCTAGGAAGGCCCTTCACAGTTGCCAGCGTACCCAAGAGGGCCTCGTGAATCTCACGACAGGACACCAAGCTGTTCGAGGCTAGGGATATCTCGTTGGGTCTGTTGTCTAGGTGTTTGGGGCCGTTTCCTTGTTCCCGTTGTTCGTCTTCTGCCTTCTGGTCTGCCTGTTCATCGCGGACATATGCTCGAATGCTTTTTAACTTTTGAGTAATGGAGGTCGCATTAAAGAATGAATCTGGCAATGGCCGAGAAATTTCGTCCACGTGCTCAATAGTAGCAGATACGGAGACACTATCTTTCAAAGCGTCGCTGATGCGGTCCGCGATGCCAGTTTTCTCTGGTCCAAAGATGGGGACGTCCGACAGGACTTGCTCGGTAATTAGGGGCCCTAGAATCTCTGATGTCTGGGCTGGCTCGAACTTCATGAGATCGAGATATGGCGAGTTTTCTAGGGCATGTTAGCTGCAGCCATTCACTGCTGATGGTCCTGTCCGCTTACCCTCCAAACCCCGATGGGGGGCTTGCCATGGAACCAACTTATAGACATGGTCTGACGTTCGAGACGGCTGCTCTAGAATATCGAAGGCGCCATTCGCTCTCAGGACTAACAACCTTGGCCTCAAAGCAGGTGAATCCAAAGTCACCCAATCGAAGGAGACGATGCGGTCGTTTCGTCTTGAGTTATCCCTGTACGAGACATCCATCTCGTGAGATCTCTGAACACGCAGCAGCTCGGGACCCTCGTGTGTCGCCACCCCAGTAGACATAATTTCTTTATTCGTTTCCATAACCTTTAGTTGACCCGTGGGTGACAGTGCTGCCAGCAATCCTCGACGGTCGCGGCAGTATCGAAGTGACCGAACAAGAGAGTGTTTGCCTTCAGTAAAAAAGGGGTCAGAGTCAGTCTCAATCACCTTATCAAGTCGCAAGGCTCCTCCCCACGGGAGCTCGTCTTCTTCCACAGCCTGCATGTAAGAATGCGAAGCAACTGGTCGGGACGTGGCTCTACGATCCCAAATCATGACGCCAGGGTGATCTAGAGCGGATGACGCGAAGAAATTTTGGTCAACGTAGTCAATAGCCAAGTTGTTGTTGCATTTCGTTTGAAAAGTGATGTTCCCGCTTGGGTCTAAAGTGTGTCAGCCTTCAACCCTTCACTACGTGCTAAAGGCGGTGATTGTGGTATACCCCGAAGATCACATATCCTCACACCTTGGCCCTTGATGCCCGCAACCAGCGTGAGCGGGCTATCCTCAAAGAACTTGATACTTGACACAGAAACACTTGGCTCAACTCTGGTGTAAGAATCCACGAACGTGGATGCTGCATTTGGAAACCCCGTCTTGGGCACCTCCTGGGCCGAAAGGCGACCGACATCCCAGACGTGGAGACTTTGGTCCATTCGAACACGATCAAGACCAACGGCAAGGAGACCAGTGGTGTTGAAAGCAACCGCCTGGCATGTCCGTGCCATTTTCAGACCAATTTCAGCATACGCATTGGAGTTGTCGTCAATCTTCAACAGATTGATGATGCCGGAACTCGTGCCGACCGCCAGGAGGCTAGTGTCAGCTGGGGACCAGTCGTAGGTCGTAAGAGGAGGGAAGTCATCGTGTCGACTGAGCTTGGAAAAGTCAAACTTTCGCTTGTTGGCATGGCCAGTGGGTTCGTAAAGTTGCACGACGCGATGTTGTAAGTTGATATGAACAAAGCTGTCAAAGGAGGAATTTGGAGACCATTTCACTAGCCCAGGCTCCGGCCGATCCATTTTGCGTCATCAAAAATCGCCGAGAATTCCTTAGAGTTCCTTGACCTGCAGAAACTGAACGGATCATAAGTCCACAGCTGCCTCGGTGCGATAATGTCCTTGACTGCCCTTTGCGACTCGGTTAGTCGGGCGATGAGAGCTTGGTGGATATGAAGAGGTTTGTTGTCTGGGTGCAAGGAACTGTCCTTAGCCGCTGTCCGACGCTGCCATTGACTCTTGGAATCCGTTGACGAGCTGCATGGCTCCGCACAATGGCCTGGTGACAGTGTGTACCAAGAAATCAAGCTGTTGCGTGTCGACGATGGATATACTCGTTACTGCGACCTCACGACCTCCTCCGCATGCAATGGTCGGCATGATTAGATTCAAAGGATTGAGGCCCGCTGATTGGCCAACAAGCTGAGCAGCTGTCCCGAGTGCCCACAGCGGAAAGAGCGATCAATTGATAAGATAACGAGCGCCGCAGCGCCCGTTTTCCCCTACGCAAGTCCCCACCATTCACCAAAAAAGTTGGCCGCCTCTTCAAAGTCCCAGAATCGCAGACATCTAGTTATCTCATCACCGTTTTCGTCGAGTCTTCACCTTTGGATTTCCCGATACAAAAATCATATTGTTCATACCGAGCTGCCATTAAAGCCCTCATTTTGTGCGCAGCTCCTTCATCCCAGGCATGAAGCGATCATTTTCCGACGTGGACAACGATGCCGAGTCCCAACCGAGACCGGCGCGAGCAAACGGCTTCAATCCAAAGCGTCAGAAGCAATATGGCACCGGCAAGCACAAGGCCAAGGAGGGCAGCTTAGAGTATTCGAGAAAGCGTGCTCGAAATATAGAACGACTGCTGCATCGCAAAAAGGACCTGCCTGCCAATGTCCAAAATGATTTGCAGAGAGAGCTTGAGTCGCATAAATCTACCGTCTCCGACAAATCTTTCCTGAAGAGGCGGAGTGCAATGATTTCAAAATACCACATGGTTCGATTTTTTGGTACGTCGGGGCTGAATTTTCTTTTTGTCTACCCTGGTGGCCGGCTGTCAAGTTTACTAAGGTTTTCATGTTGAAGAGCGAAAGAAGGCGTCGCGTTTAGCGAAACAGATCAAGCGCAAGATGGAACAAAACCCATGTACCGACGATGCTGATGATCTAAAACGGCAACTGCACATCGCCGAGGTAGACGAGGCTTATACAATCTATCACCCGCATATGGAGCCCTACATCAGTTTGTATGGCAACTCCAAGTCCGAGGGTAACGACAAGGGGGAGGAGGATGCCGCAGAAGACGACAGCGAAACAAAACAAACACTAGCAGCAGCCAAAGCTGCACTCAACGCCAAACGACCGCCAATGTGGTCTGTTGTTGAGAAGGCCATGGAAGAGGGTCTTGGAGCGTTGAAACAATTACGGGAGAGGAGATCTGCAGACGACTCGGCTCACCCAGCCCCTGCCACAAAGAAGCATAGTCCGACAACTAGGACAAGCTTAAACAAACCAGACTCAAGGCAAGAGCACGAACAAGCTCATGATCAGCAAAATCGCGCTGAAGCCAAGGATAAGGCAAGCAAGCAGCAAAATGGCGAACAGCCGCAACTTAACCGGAGGGAGCGAAGACGACTTATGCGCGAAGCTATGGCTGCTACTAAGCCTGATGAAGATGACGACGGCGGGTTTTTTGAGGAAATGTAACATAGAAACAACGTGATATGACGTGCATAGCCGGAGGATTGGCGCTGATAAGGGACAGACTTGGTATGTATTCCGTACCGTAATACTCCGTACATATCAATTGATGCCAATTGCGCCAGGTTGTCAAGAAGATTAAAAAAAAATCCAGAGGTCCCCTTTCCATTCCACCAGACCTCTGACTGAAGCTCGCAGGCCATCGGCTGCTCACTGCGGGGCGCGTCAAATGACTGTGCGGTCAAGTGCAATAGGCGGGCCCCAGGGACGCGCTGCCCCCGGTCTGGGACTGTTGGTGTCTGGTCATCAAAATGAGATGATGCTGCCAGGAATGCACTAGCTGCTGCAAGGTGACGGCACCGGTTGACCCTTGAGAACCAAATTTGATGTGGGTGCCGGAAATTGGGGCCGCATTCAACCACTGTGACACCACATCGCGCACCTGCACTGGCTGACATGGGCAGACGAGACTGACAGGAGTATCTCATCCAAACCAGCTTCAGAGTACGAGTGTGAAAACCAGCCGCATTTTGGGTCAACAGCAGTAGTTCGCAGCAACTCCAAATGCGCCTCCTCTTCTCAAACTGACCGGGGATGATGGGGGTATCCTGCCGCCTGTCAACTGCTCAAGTGGTGTCCAACGCAATCTGCCCCCCTTTTACACCACCACAGGACCGCTGCTCATCATCGCCAGAGGTCCAGCCGAACTAGGGGCTGCACGCATTACTCCGTACTACAAACCGGATATATTACTTCATTTGTTTAATAACCAATCACCATTTTGCACAAAAAAAAATTCGAAATTTTCCACCATCGAAATGCATGCTGTGAAGTCTCAACAGTGAGGTTGTATTCAACATACCGACCTTTCATAACCGCAGCAGTATGTGTACTGCACTTCTTTTGCGGGGGGCGGGGGGAAGTATTTGATTAAAGTCATCGGATCCCATGGACATAGAGAAACCATTTTTCAATTTTGACTGGCCTCGCCTGCAAAATGCTCACTCATATGTTGGCATGTCTAAGCCAAATGCACGAAACCGTCTTCCCACACCAGTCCTTATCAACACTGTAAACCATAGCCACGCAATATAACTCCCTTTTTCAGTGTCTTCCATAATTTCAGCCTTCATCGGTATTTGAGACAGTCTGAGGCGCATTGGTCTCGCCCGAGCCGCCTTCGCCTGCCGAGTCAGCATTCGTCGACTTGGACTTTCTCTTTCTCTTCCGCTTAGCCGGCGCTTCACCCGACTTTTCCTCCGTCTCGGCCGTCTTGGCCGTCTTCTTTGGTTTGCTCGTCCCGTCAGTCTGCTTTTTAGCTTTCTTCTTCACCGACAGGGGATTGGGCCCCTTCGGACCAGGGCGCTTGGACTTCTTCGCCGGCGGCTTCGGCTCGGTGCCTTTGTCAGTTGCCATCACATTTCCATCGTCGTCATCTTCTTCGCCGCCATCGTCCCTTTCTGCTCTCTTTCTCTTCCCGATTGTTGGTTTCAGTCCCGCCCTAAACTTGCTACGCTCTTCTCGGGCTCGGAGTCGAACGCTCTCATCGGACATTGGCTCCATAATCATGACACTTCTCTTGATGTATATTAAAGGCACTCCTCGGACTCCGCGCAACATGCGCCGTAAATCCAGGTTCTGGCTTGCCACAACATACCGGTGCTTATTCTCGCCCGTATCCTTGGGATCTATGACAGACTGAAGGCACTCCAGCGTACTCAACGGCTCGGGGTACTCATCGGGATGATGGCCGCAACGTCGTCTCTCGCAAGTCTTGGCTACCTCTATGGCTTCGCTGATACCAGGTTCATTCTTCCGCGCGTAGAGCTTCCTAATTTCGCATTGTGTAATCACTGAATTTCGGTCAGGGAGCTGAAACGAGTGGCCTAAAGATTAGCGAAAAGAGGGCGCATACTTGGCTTGACTTTTCCATGGGCTGTTCTTTGCAAGGCCGGCTCCAATTCCATCTTGAACCGGCAGGAATCTTGGACCATTTCGGCGTCCACTGGGCACAATGTTAGCAAGTCGTTGAGGCAAGAAGCTGAACCACGGATACCTACCTAGAACTTGGTACGGCTCCCGAAAACCAAAGGTCATACAATATCGCTCCATGAGCTTGCGATACTGTTTGGATCGTTTCCCCCTCATGTTTGACGGATACAAGAGACACGATTGGGAATGGCGATATGGGCTAGTGCGATGAAATCTAAAGCATATATATCTAGACCCTGCTAAAGAGACTCTCTTCGTAAGCTCTCCAAAATAAATTTCTTATCGGCGGCGGACCCAGGGTCTGCACGTGCGATAAGGTAGGAGCCGCCAACCCCCCAATCCTGGCCAAGCGCAAAAGCCATCCGAGATCAATTTCAGCCCCACACTAATGGACATGTGGAAGTCCAGGGGAGTTGGTGCACCCCATTGTTACTTGCTACAAGTGGTCTGGTACTATGAACAATGAAAACTGTAGTCCAGGCCAGAAGCTTTGAATAATTCGAAAAGTAGCAGTACCAACATCGCTCAAGTTCAAATCCATAACTAAGAGAACAACTCTCGCCGACTAGATAGACAGACGCCAGAGTTGGTCACAATGACTCAATCATTGGTTGCATGCATTAACCAGACAAAATCCAATGCAGATAGTTCCGTCGTCACTTGTTCTCAACGCACAAGGCAGCAACCACACTAATGTCATCCAGTTTCCCTGCAGGTAATATATCGTAAGTACATGTATCGCTAGGGGTGTCGGAATAAAAGGTTTAATAAAGAAACATACCTCCTTCACTGGCCAAGCCTTCTTCAATAGCCTGCTCCATAAATGGACTCTCTGCAAATGGATCCATCGCGATCACTCTAGCTGCAGCGACGAGCTCATCCGCTGCCACCTTCATCCCGCCATTACGGCCACCTTTTCTATCTTCTTTCAACTCTCCTCCTTTTCCCGACTCCCAGCTTTTAATGCTCTTTACAACCGACTCAACGATTTCATGCTCCCATAAATTATCAATGACGCCGTCGCTCATCGCTAGTACCACATCTCCGACTTCCAAGTCTATAGTATCCACGACAGCATTGTCCTTGGGTGTATCAGGGCTGTTGGTTCCAAGCTGCCTGGGACAGTCGAACCAATGCCACTGTTCCTTGGTCTTGAAAATGACCTCCTTGTTTCGCGGGCGAAGGACCATCACTTGGCAGTCTCCGAGGTTTGTAACGAGCAGCAGCGGCAATGGATTTACTGATGGGTTGTCGCCCGAGGCTCTATAGTGCAATTGGGCACCGCATACAGTGGTAGTTCCTTGCCAATCGAGAGGGACCGTGGCATCAAGTGTCCGCTCATACGCCGACTGAAGCATAGACTTGGGATCGGGCATATGCGGTGTATCGGAGGATAAGGATCGAAGGACATCTTCTTCAACAGCTGCCACCCAAAAGTGTAAGATTAATCGCGACCACAGACTGCCGCAGTATGTTAGTTGTCATGAACACGGTGAGTGCAGGGCAAGGATCTTACCCAGCATGGCCGCGTGGTCGCATCGCCCAGGCCCCGACCCCATCGTTCGCGCAGATAAAGAAATCGCTTGCATAGACCGCATCATCCCCATTTGTTAGGCCCTTTATGAGTTCTCCATTTACAAATGCCCCCCGTCGATCGCGACTTCGATGATGGGTGCTTAGAGGATCGGAGAAGGACGCCGACGGAGGCGACGTGAAGGGCGGGGGAAAGGGTCTCGGTTGCCGCTTAGCGAATAGCCCAATGCCCGTTTCGAATCGAAAGGGCAATTTCGATAGCTTCTTTTTTCGACCAGACGTCTCTGGAGATGAGTCTGCCGAATATCGTCTTTCGTAACGGCCCCGCCATAGCGGGTCCTGAAGCTGGCGCTGTCGCGGTCGCGATAAAGATCTCGAAATGGCGACGGGCGTTGGAAAGTGTGACGTGCGCATTCCAACTATGGAACTCGGGCGTTGACCCGGTCGGGTCGCTCACCGCGGCCTCTGCGGCAATCTCTCTCGGTTGATGTCGATGTGTTGACACATCCAGGAATTAGTATTCGTCTGGTGCTTCGTCGTGGTGTTGAAGGATGTAGAATGTCTGCACGTGACGCCGCGATTGGTCGAGTCGGGCCTCCCGTCAGCCTCAGGAAGGTCTTGGAAATGTGCTTTCAGTGTCGAGTGGAACACAGCACGTTCCACGCTAGGTTTGTTGAGGGGAAGTTACCAGCTGGGCTTGTCCGACAATTTGTCCTGTCCTGCTCAGATCAAAAGTGCCCGCATTACTAGCGGAGTTTTCCGAGTGGCACGATTATCAGGTGCACCTCTGAAATGTGCAGCTTCGATGCAGCGACTTGACAATACGATGTTCCCGACTCCCAACTACAACACGCATACACATGGGATTGGTGTAAGACCGACAACTCCCCTTTTCCCTCCCCCCCCCCGCTGGCGAAGAAAGAACCACACTACACATAAGTAATTATCTAGGTACATGATGGGTGAAAAAAAAGGAGGCTACCCTATCCCATGATGGACCTATGTTTCAAGAGCCATGCAAATAAGCCGGATTCTGTCACGATTAGCATCGCTATGTTTTCATTGGGCATGGTCCCTACTAATTCCATGTTGAATTGCGAGAGTATTGCTCCGACGTGTGGCGGTATTTGCGATAGGCGATGTTCGTGTATCAAAGTCTGGAGAGCCACACAGCAGCCCACTGAGACTACACACCGAAATATTCAGCATCGGTTCGTCGCAATACCGGTTAATAACTAGGTGACGCGGACCCCATACCCGGCGTGGTCCAATGCTAGCCATCATTCTACACAGTCAGATTGTGCAGGCAAGGACGGCAGCCATCTCAGACTGGCAACTAGCACAAGGCCAGAAGGCGACATGATGCAGCTCATAGCGTATTGAGCGTATGATGGCGATGACGGGCAATTCACCAACTTGACATAGGCGCCGACATTGCACGGCAGGACCGTCGTCCATTTGCTCAACCCTCATGAGGTGCATGTGGCGATGACGTCAAATGAGTACTCAGAGTGGTTGGTCCATCTCCGGCACCAACCGCCCGCCCCTTCCCTTCCCTTCCACCTTGTACGGACTGTAATCTACCCCGTACTCCGTACTCGGTGGGCTGACAGCAAATCAAGATTGCGACAGGCCGGTGTTGGTGTTCGAGGACGCGCCAGAGAGTACTCTGTAGCCCGTACTCCGTATTTGCCGTCCACATGCACAACAGGCAGACTTGGCAGCACCAAAGCCTAAGATTCGAGAATTACCTGTTCCTGGGCATGGCGCTAATGCAGTGCAGAGTGTCTGGTAGTACGTAGTATTCCCACCACCATGGATTGTATCGAGCATGACAAGAACTTGACTTATCGTCATGTGTCTCAGCAACGAACGGCCTTGGCCAAATGCCAAGCGCATGGTGTCTTTCCCCGCCTTGCCGGCTCCGTTGTCGTCGATTTGGATGAATGGAAGTGCCGCGCAAGCTCTGCAACATGTCTCCGCCCTATCTTTGTAGGACTTGACCGCCTGGGCAGCCCTTCAGCCCCCCTGCTTCTGTCCGGCCTCTCGTATCCGCAATGCGTGCTGGAGTCATGGCTCTGCGCACCGCTGCTAAGCTGAACCAGACTGCAGGCGTATCGCCCTAGTGAGGAGAGCTTACCCCAGCAGGCTGGGGCACAATGGTCTGGTGCGCTTGGCGCTTGGCTCTTGGCTTGGCCGGCTCACGGCAGTGTATGGATGTAAGTTGCAATATCCAGACAATTCCGGCCGGGGCGGCCAGGCGAAGTCGTCGGCATACGCATATCTGGACACTGTGTTTGTTTCCGAGCTACGCTAGGTGGTAAGCATGTTAGAAGGGGGTTGGTTTGGGGATTAGTCCACGCAATGTCACAGTTTTGGACTTGGCAGGTCGATTGATTGCCCAGCATTGCACCGCGAACGATTCAACACATGCCAAGCGGATTGGGTGCTCCGTAACCTAGAGCGAATATTGACAAGAGGTGTGGCTGAGTTGCCCTCACCCATGGCCTACCGCCGGAACTCAACCACACTTGCTTGAGCCAATTAATTCATTGCATGCCGCTGACCTCGTCGTAACACAGAGCACCGTTCTCTTTGGTCATGGACAAGTTGGCGGCTACTCCGTGGTGCTATGGCTGGTTAAAGTGGTTACGGAACACCCAATAAGCCGGCGTCGTGTCATCATGGTCTCATCGTCTGCGCATGTAGTACGGAGGAGATGAAAACCGACGGAGACACCGGAAATACCTAAACTAATACAAGTGGACGGATTAGACTGATGAATCAGTTCAGATATGTTGTATGTTGGAAACAACCGCTGGTGGAACTTGGATTCGCACCATCTGCGAAGCGGTACGCTATTATTAAACCCACCGTCACCAAGAGGCCCCATGTCTTGGCCCAGCCGGTGTAATCATGCACCATTGGCGCCGAGAGCTTGATGGTTCGTACCCTCTCAACCCTCTCGCGGACGAGTGAGAGCAGGAAACCCGCCGAGGTGCATCTGATAGGCACGCGGACCCAGCAGATGGGTGGTGGCTTTGTCGAAGCCCAGCCGCCGACTGCATTTGGATGGATTGGCGACGAGTCTGCGTGGTGTGTGCAGCTCGCCTGGAGCCTTGAGCCTTGGAGGAGACAACGCCCACGGCAGGGTGTAGGATGGCCTTGACTCGGTCTCGTCGGGAAGGGGGGATCATGAGACGCCTCAGACACGACACGGTCAACTGGCATCGCTGGGCGACAACGGATAGGATGGGATGATGGGATGGGGGCGAAGATGGGGGATAGATATGCGCGTTTATTTAGAAGCGCCTGGCCCCTCCCCATGGAGACGGCATGTCGTTTTGAACTTTTCGTTTCGAGATGGTTCATTTATGTGCATTTTGTTTCCCAAGGGCCGTCGCTCGGATATAGGTTCCGATACGATTCCATCCCATTCACCGCATCCTTCCCTCGCACATCACCCGCTGCAGGCCAGAGTAGTCATTGCTGCCATTATATACACCAACAGCCTCCCATTTTTAAAGTTGCACGCCTAACCTCTCTCCTCTCGGACGTTCTGGGTGCCGTTGGCTGCGACGCTTCAACAAGGTTCAAACCAATAGGCTCGGCCGGAGCCTCAACGATTTCCTCGGTGTGTCTAGGAATCTGGGAATCTAGGAATCTAGGACCAACAGGCTGTGCCGCCCGCCCGCCAGATCGAACTCGGATGATCGACAATTGCATCGCGTGGAATACAACCAAAAACCCTGTTTGGCGGGCCTTTCATTAATTACGTCGTTGGCTTGACATCCTTTTGTGTGGCGGAAGCACCATCGCAACCCCGGCTGCATGTATTTGACGTGCATGACTTTTCCTTGACGATTCACTGTTGCCAGGTTATTCACTCGGGCCTTTGAAATCTTCTTTGAGACCAAAAGCCCAAGTCATAACAACCGCATTTGGCGCCGGCGGCCCCGAGCTAAATAACCTGCATAGTAGCGTGCAAGCCCGTCGCATTTTCTTTCGCCCAAGTGCAACGGCTTAAACAAAGCGAAATTTGAGTCTTTCGTCTAGGTGCAGGCTAATTTTGGATATTGCTTTCATCTTGCTATACGTGCCTTTTGGCTTGACTCCATTGCCTCCTATTGCCTTGGATGCAGTTAAAAAAAGAAAAAGCTCAACAAAAAGAAAACCTGTTAAAAGCGAAGCTACAGCCCAGCATACATTCTTTGGCTTCTCTTTTGGTAAGTGCCAGGACGTCTGGTTTCATTGTCCATTCTTTTTATTCTGCTGTCCTTTCCCATGTCTTTTCTCCCCTCCCCTTTACCCTTGGCAATTTCGCACCCTCTTCTTCGCACCAATACTTACATCGAGCAAGTGGCGGTTGCTTCGAGCACCAGACGACGGCGACGACGACGACGACAACGTAAAAACAACAAGACAAAAAAAAAGTCTTGGGCTTCACCTCGGGCCTGTCATGCCTGCAAGCTACTCAAGTGGCCTCCGACTGTTCCGCGCACACCACTCTACCGAGCTCTAGCTACTTATTGCCGTTGTGAAAGACGACTCGGCCTACGGAAAGTGAGCGGATTTTTCTCTCACTTCTAAGCCTTGGTTTTCGACCGCCTTGGTTCCACGCTTCAAAGGACGACTACTACTACTCCCACTACCTCCAAGAAACGCCCACCGCCCTGTTTGGGTTGGCTTTGATTTCTTTTTTCTTTTTTCATTGCTGTGTTTGTTTTCGTTGTCCTGGAACGCTGCCGAGCTTTGTTTCCAAAGTAATAATCCCCGACCTGGACGGACCTGAGACCAAGACTGAAGACCCTGCCAGGCCCAGACCACCAAAATCCCATACAACATTTGAAGGCAAATAACAGCTCGGACTTGGCGACGCAGCCACTGACGACGACGGCAGCAACGAGGGCCTTTTTCAAAGAGCAATTCCTAGCGGCATTGGAATTCACTGCGGCGTTTTCGTTTTATTATCTGGACGGCTGTCATTTGCTCTATCGCCAAACAAATTTGCTCTGCACTGCACTGCACTGCCCGAAGGGTCCGGCGCATTCACAAGTGCGCAACTTGACCGAGTTGACCGGTCCACCTCCAGGGTATTTCCCGCTTCTCTCCCCGTTGGTGATTTACGACAAGCCTGGGTAAGGGCAGCAATCAATCAAGATGGGGCGCAATCGAGGTTTGTACACTCTCTCCTATTTTGTCTCTCCATTCCAGCCAATATCCACAAGTCGCCAAGTCGCCAAGTCGACAGCGCCAGCCATGGAGCCAAGGCCCGGCGAGGGCAATCTGCAGTGCAGTGCGCCGCAGTCTCAGTCGGTATTAGTCTATAGTCTCAAGCCCGAGCCCACAGAGCCCAATCCCAAGCACAGTCCAAATTATTACATGTCGAGTATTTTCAGCAAGCCAAGGGCTGGCTACAGTACATACATACCTACCTACCACCTAGGTAGTAGTTCTTCAGCCCACATCGCTCGCATTGTGGCCCCGAATTTGTCACTTGTTCCCGACCATGACGCCCATGACGGGCCATGACGGGCACGACGGCCAGGGCTGGGCGCAAGGACGCTGTCTGCAGTGCACCCCTACCCTTGCCCCCGCGCATGATGCCCAATCTGGCGCAGTCTGGAGCATGCTGGTCACCTTGTTCACGTTGATTGAGCATGCGAGCATTCTGTTCCTGTCGGGTATTGTATTGTCCTGGTTCGGCGTCTTGTCCCACCGGAACAGACGTCAGCCGTATGCCCAGAGCCCGCCCAGTGACGCCCAGGACTGGGGGGGCGCAATTTCAGTGCTACCAGTTGACGGCATCCGAGCCAGGCCCAGCCGCTAGTTGGCTTGGTCGCTTCGGCGAGCTGCGGCCAATATGCCAATAATACCAGTTGGCCAGACCCCTTTCCCCCTCTGGGCCTGGCGGAACACGGGCTTCCTGCACTTGACAGGTCCATCAATGTTGCTTGTGTTCCATGTCCGTCTGATCGCTGGCCATTCATTGAGGCGTCGCGAATGCACCGCACTTTAGCACACGACGGAGGCCCGAGAATCAATCGTCACCCAGGGACCGTCCCATCCCAAGCACACATGTGCATGTAGTACGGAGTACGGAGGACCAGTCCACTTGCAGTATTGAGTCCAATGTTGGCTGTGCTTCATCCACCCCTGGTACTGCTATTACTTGTACCTAGCCGCTTGCCCTCCTCTCGCCCGTCTCCTTCATCACATCCCATCCTCCCATTCAATGTCCAATGTTGTGTGTGCTGACTCCTGCGTCCATCGACGTCGCCGCTGAACAGTTTTGTCTTTTATGTCCCACTTCTCCGCTGGCGCCAAGACCCCATCGCCATCATCGTCGCCCCCCAACGACCTCTCCGTGGGCCTCAAGAAGAAGCAGCACCACGTTTCCGATCCCTTCCCTCAACTAGATCGCAACATCGACGCTGTCCGCCGACCTGTCACGCCGCCGTCACGGCCGGACTATGGAACTCCGCCAGAAGGCTCCCCAAACGACACTCCTCCCCGACGTCAGCGCAGTTCATCGCGACCACTGTCCATGGTTCAGACCTACCAGCCGCCCGTCATGGACATCAACGAAGACACTATTCCTGAGCTCCAGCCCATCTTCACGCTGCTCAACAGCCACTCCAACAAACTGTATCAGGAAGGCTACTTTTTGAAACTCGACGATCAAAACACACGTACGGGAACACATCTCCTCTCTCCGGCCCCCTTGCCCAATAACCATGCTCTCTCACCAACACATTGGACAGGCTTGGTGGCGCCAAGACCAGAACGGTTGACTAACTAATTGTTGCACAGAGGGCAAACCAAACTTGGACCGAACTTGGACCGAATGTTTTGCACAGCTTGTCGGCACAGTCTTGTCGTTGTGGGATGCCGCCGAACTTGATGCGGCCGGCGAGGACGGCGAGGTCCTGCCAAAGTTTATCAATCTCACGGACGCTTCAATCAAGATGGTACGTTGGCCTCGGCTGTGGGAATGCCCAAGTTTCAAACCCATCCCGACTACCCAATTGTCTAGTCTAACCTGTACGCTGCGTTGTAGATCGAATCACTTCCTACTCGTTCCAACGATGAGCAGCCATTACAAAACATTCTGAGCATATCTACTGCGGGCAGAAATCGATATCTTCTCCACTTCAACTCACACCACTCTCTGATACAGTGGACGGCAGGAATTCGTCTTGCCATGTTCGAGCACTCAACGTTACAGGAGGCTTACACCGGCGCCTTGATTGCGGCCAAGGGAAAATCACTCAACAACATCAATGTTATCATGGAGAGATCACGTATGAAGTCGGAGCAGTGGGTCAGAGTCCGCTTCGGTGCCGGTGTGCCGTGGCGTCGCTGCTGGTGTGTTATTTCACCCCCGGATGAGAAGGAATACCAGAAGCAACAGAAGGAACTCAAAAAGAGGTCTGCCTATGACCGGTCTCACGTCCCTGTTCTCAAGGGAGATATCAAATTCTATGATTCCAGAAAGGACGGGAAAAAGCAGAAGAAGGCTCAACCGATTGCCACCGTTACCGATGCATACTCGGCCTATGCGATTTACCCCCAGGCAAAATCTTTGATTGACGCTTCAACCCTGCTCAAAATTGAAGGCCGCGTTACCGTCCACTCTGACCCGCCCTCAGCTACTGAAGGCTTCATCTTCATCATGCCCGAGGTTCATCCGGCCGTCAGCGGCTTTGAGATGCTGCTTCGTTTCTTATTCCCTACCTGGGACTCCTTTGGTCTGTATGGCCGACCCGGCAGATTGGTCGCAAGCGTTCTTGATCCGCGATCGCTCATGTTTGCCATGCCCAAACACAAGCGCTACGGATATCTTGAGATCCTCGACGTTTCGACGCTGATTCTGGAAGAAGGCAGTACGTCATGGTCAGAACGAGAGTGGCGCAAGCGACTCAAGGACGCTACCGGCACACGGATGAATGCATTGGAAGACGGTTCTAGATCTCATTCTCGTAGTGCGAGTCGTTCCAGTGCAAGACTTAGCTTTGGCAGTGGAGGTAGACCCAGGGTTGGGTTTGCTGATGATGGCAACTCGGTATGCCTTGAATCTCATGCACCGTCATTAGCGCGCATTGTTACCCCTGCTTCTACGGGTCTTTCATACTAACGTAGGCAAGCAGCTGCAGCCGGGTCGTGAGCCTAACCATATGCGTAACGTATCAGACCCAAATCTTGGTGGCACGCAACAACATGATGCCCGAGCTGATGGCTCACCACCACGGCACCAGCCTTTCCATGGTGGAGGCCCTGCCGGTCAAATGTCTCACGAGCCTGCAAGCTCTGATGAAGAGCTAGGTGCATCTCCGCCTCCTCCCATGCATAATCTGGAAGCCATGAGAAGTCTTCAGACTCCTGAGCCAGTTTCAAGCCCTCCAGCCTTCAATCATGGATCGCAAGCTAGACCCACCAGCAACCCGTATCACTCCCCTGAGCTCCGGCGAGCGAATAGTCGGCTGTCAAGCTCGACACTTGCCCAAATGGCCACGGCTGGTGGCATGGAAACCGACATGCAAGGCGGTCGTACACCCGCCAGCTACAGAGATGGTGAGGATGGTGCGCTCCGTGGACCCGCGGTATACTCGCATGACCACTCACTAGGAACTTACGCTAATTCGGGCAATCTTCATGAAGCCCCCAACTCAGGAGACCCGGGACAACCACCTGCCACGAACCTGCCGGCCCCAACCCTTCCAAACCTAGACATTCCAAACCAGCGATCAAGAGGCCCCGTGGGACCCATGGGGCCTCCCAGTCCCCACGGCCAGAATCCCAATTCACGTCCTGGCACCTCGGAAGGGCGTCGATCTCCCTATCCTCCAGGATCAGGCCCGCCACGATCACCTAATCCTCCGCAGCAAGGCTTTCGACCAGACCAAGCTCGATCTCCTCCTGGTCCCCCCGGACCGCCTGGGCCTTATGGGCGCGGACGGCCCCATCCAGGTCAAGGACCACCAAACGGTCCCCCTGGCCAGTATGGTAACTATCGACCTGCACCAGGCGGGCCGCCGCCGCCTGGTGGTCCCGGGGGCGGCCGGGGTGGCCCTCCCGGCAATCCCCATCGAAAACCAGTTCCACGACAGACCAACAGCATCACTCCCGATCACATCATTGATCACTATACCTCTGACCCGTATCGCGGCCCCGTACCTGGATATGATGCAAGGCCAGCCCCGCCATCTCACAACCAAGGCCCCGGATTTGACGGTTCACATGGTACTCGCGACGAAGATCGACCTCGTGCCGGCGTGTTGAAGACTGTAGGAGGTGGAGAACCTCCGTTACAGAATTCGGAATTCAATATCCCAGAAGTAAATTTTGGCCCTACCGTTAATTACGGTGCGTCGGCGGTGCCGCGGAAACAAGTCCCAGGACCTGTCGAACCTTCAATGCGTAGTCAACCGCCAGGTTACTACCCGGAGTCGAACTCGAATGCTCACGCACCCCGGCCAGGTCATGGGAGACAGGAACCCGTGGACTCCGGCCAAAGAACTATGGCTTGGCAGCCCGCGGGTACCTATACTACGTCGGGATCAGGATCAGGACCAGGATCCGGAGCAAGAGCGCTGACACCAGATCAGTACGTCCATCGAGCCGCAGCAAACTCGCCACAGTACGGCGGTAATCTTGGAGTGGGAGGACCTGGAGCGATGGGTGTCAGGACTCCTAGCCCCCATCCGCCGTATCCTGGCGCTGGACGCGGAGGCAGTGGCCCGCCTCCACCTCCACATGGAGGCCCTGGAGGCAACCCTTCTCGACCTCTTGGCCCTCCGTCATCCGGCTTACCTCCACAGGGACAATACAACCATGGTCAAGTCCCCAATTATGCTCCATACCAGGGTCAGGCCTTTTAAGTTGGCCAGTATCGCAGAGCTGAAATGAGGAAAGAGACAGCGAATAACGAAATGTTGCGTGAGCATGCTGATGAGCTTTTCTTGTTTGGCGGTTACTGCTTTATCCAGTGTGTTACATAAAATTAATGGGCGATGCGAAATGCGCCATTGGATGCATACCACAAGACGGGGCGTTTTCTTTGTTCATGAATTTGGAGGATTGGGTCGATTTTAGCATTGGCAACAATGCAAACTAGCGCGTTGGGAAAAGGCGTTTACCACATTCCGGCCTGTTTGTAGGGGCTGACACTGTACTTCTTGTTTGTATAGTTTTACTATTCTCTGTCTATTCTTGGTTTGACGTGGAGAGGATTGATTGAAATTGAAGGCTTTGCTAGACTGACATGGCGAAACGAGCAGCCTCCTATCTGTCACCTTTCTTCAAAGATTAGGAACAAAAAGTAGGAGGAGAAGGGAGAATATGGTGTTGTTGTTAACAAAGCCCAAATAACCAATCCGGGAGCATGGAGGACCAAAAGCTGGCACTCATTAGGCATCTTTATCTCATTTTCATAGAAACTACTTGGAAATAGACGTTGACCCGGGAGGACCTCTCCGGATAACTTACCAAAAAAGAAAAAAGATCAAAAGTAAGAAAAAAAAAAGAAGTATCGTACGATCGCAAGAGTGAATTCTAATGCTTGGTTGTGACCACATCTTGTTGAAGACATTGATGTCTTTAGGTATGTACTGGCAGTACTGCGTTGGATGGAAAGAAATCAGCTTAAGCTACTGGGAATAATGAAATGCCACTTTGCGGGCGTATAGTTATTTGGTAGAAAATACAGAGATGCTCTGCATGATGTCAGAGCTCGCCGGCCAGATGGACGAACAGTTGGCGTACAAAACACCTAGCTCTGCTGCACAACGATGCAACTTGGGCACATGGATTGGCCACGAATTGGTGATGATGGATCAGACGAGCCTCGTCGTCGTGTGTGGAGAGGGGCAACAGGGAGGCGGGAGGGGTCCGAACCGCCAATCGACACTGTCCAGTGCTTCCAAGTTTGGGCACGCAGCACTTGAGCGGTCACACACCCCAGCGAGTTGCTGGCCAAGGGACTGTCTCGTGCCACCCGATTCCGGACTGGAGGACCAGAACAGACACTTGACCTGTTGGTTGACTGGGCTTTGAATTCTCATTCGAGGTGGTTTGTGGGAACATTAGACTCCAGTCATTGTGATGGTGTTTTGCGCCTGACTGGCCAAAGCTGGTAACCGGATCGGAGCTTGATGTTCTTGGACGCTGGTTGCTGCAACATGGATGTGTCCAGTCGCTCCTTGCACTTCAAATCCCCCGCTATGGAGTCCGCCGACTGGTGGTTGCCCTGGCGGACCAGGTCGACCCCGCCAAGCAAAAGGCAACAGTCCCAAAGTTGACAGCCCAGCTTTTTTGCTGTTGCAGCTTGTCATACGTCCAACGCGTTGGTAACATCCGGCATTGATGATCCCTGCTTTTCTACATTTTTTATGTCCCCATGTAGGCATATCGATGGCTGCGATTTTCTTCTTTTCTTTTTTTGTCCCCCTTCGCCTTGCTCCGATCCAGCTACCTCTTTTCATTTCGTAAAGAAAACTAGTGCCAGGCCATGCAGAGTTCTGTCCTTATTCTCTCTCGCGACGACAACTATACGTATTCCCTACGCCTGTAGTTGCCGATACTCTCGCCTGGCTGTTTGGGACCCTTGGAGGCCTGTTGGACAACGTCACTGTTGCATCTTGCCCTGCGACCTTGACGTCTCACAAAGTTGAGGTTGTAGCTGCCATCTTCACCTTGCCTTCGCCGGCAGCTGCACAACCCTACACAGCCCGATTTCCACTCCTCAAACAAAAAAGTTGACGCTGCTTTTGCGGTCGGTCCCGAGTAGGGTCGCTTCCAATGGACGGCGATGAGCCTACACAAGGTATGGTTGATGCGAGTCAATCGGAGACCTATTCCTGGGCCCAGTAGGGAGCACATCTTTGGCTGACAGCTTGACCTCCCTTCTTCATTTTCTAGCGACCCAGAATGTCCTCGATCCGCGACGCATAGGGAAGCAGAACTCTGGCTTCTCCGACGAAGACGTATCTGACATCATTTGCGTTCTGTACCCGCACTCCGAGTCGGCACGAGAAGAAGTCCAGAGACTAGCTAAAGAAGACTCTCCGTATATTATTGGCAAGAACCAGGCGGATGATGTCGAGCCAGACTATGAATTGGAGGATCATGCGAGTCGGTTCGAGTCACATCCCGTCAGCCACGGAAACTACGCCATCATCTTGAGGCTTTCGTCTCCCGTCAAGAGCCCCTCTGCTGGATTCGCTTTTGGCAGAAACAGTGCTAGGTGCGATATTGTTTTTGTCAACGATCCCTTGCGCCGGATTAGCAACGTCCATTTCCGCATTTACGTCAACGAGTACGGAAGTGTCATGATTGAGGACCAATCAACCAACGGCACTTTTGTCGATAGACAACTCCTTACACGCCACCCCAAGGACAAGTCGGCACCGGCAAACAAGTGGGTGCTGGGTTCTGGGAATCTCATCCGCATTGTCTTGCATAACGAGACTCTGGACTTGACTTTTCGTGTTAGGATACCTCGTCGCGATGACGATTATGACCGTGCATACCTCAACAAGGTCAATGAGTATTTTATCCACCATGGTTTGCACCCTGCGAGCGGTGAAATACCGGGTATCAATCTTTATACCAATACCAACCCTGGGCCCGTTGATCTCTTCAAAGCGCCTGGCGGGCCGCAGGCAAACAGGGTAGCCTTCGAGGCGAGTCCATCCCCTCACCTGTCTCCTAAGCTAAAGGACTCTCATGGTGTGATGCGCAATGAGTGGAAGGGCTCTGGGAAATACAACCGCATAGGCATGATTGGCAAGGGAGCTTTTGCAGTGGTGTATAAGGTGACGTCAAAATATGACGGACTGCCTTATGCTGCAAAGGAGATTGAGAAGCGTCGATTTGTCAAAAATGGCGTCCTTGATCAAAAAGTTGAGAATGAGATGAAGATTATGCAGCGCGTGAATCATGTAAGTCTGCCGACTCTTTGTGTCTCGTCAGAGAATGAGCTAATGGCAACTTGTTAGCCCAATATTGTGCGTTATATTGAGAATCTTGATTGGGAGGATCGCCTGCTGATCATTATCATGGAGTACATACCTCACGGTGATCTCGGCAAGACTATCCCCGACTTGGGCGCATTTACTGTGGAAATGACACAAACCATGTCAAGGCAATTACTCAGTGCCTTGGGCTATTTGCACGCCAATAATATTACCCATCGCGATGTTAAGCCAGATAATATTCTTATCCAATCTATGGATCCCCTGGTGGTTAAGCTCACCGACTTTGGATTATCTAAAATGGTTGATACGGCAGAGACATTTTTGCGCACGTTTTGCGGAACTCTCCTGTATTGTGCACCAGAAGTGTACACAGAGTATGCCGAGTATGATGACAATGGGGTCCGAAGCCGAGGCAAGAAGATGCGCCGCATGCCTGGACAGAGATATAACCATGCTGTGGACATCTGGTCTCTTGGAGGTGTGCTGTTTTACTCACTGACTGGTGCACCACCTTACCCCGTCAAATCTGGCATCAGCTACTCAGAATTACTGCACAAGATTATGACAACGAATCTGGACACCCTGCCCCTCCAAAGATTTGCCGTATCTGAGGCCGGCATTGACTTTATTCAGCGAATGCTCCAGAGACGGCCCGAGAATCGCTCAACTATAGTCGAGCTTGAAAGTCATCCCTGGCTTTGTGGCTTCGGCTCCACTGTACAGGCTTCCCAGTCTTATGATGAGATCACGGATGATGAAGAGTATCCGTCGCAACTTGAACAACTAGTTGCGTATGATAATGATAGAGTGAGCGACTCAATGAGCGATATTTCGGACAAGGAAAATAGTTACATGGATCATGGTGCACAACAACCACGCTTGTTTGGAGAGGTTGGTGTATCTGCCATAGGATCCTCTGGTGTTATTCCTGAAGATTATCTTAATCTGCCCCACGAGAACAGCACGGGTGCGACAGACATACTGGACTCTCACGAGGACGAAGCTTACGATTCAGGAGACTCGGACACGATCAAGGCCAAGACTCGGCGTGCGTATCAACATAACATCACGTCGATATACCCAAACCAGTCCGCAGACCAGCTCCAAAGTCTGGTAGAAAACGTAGCTTCACAGAGTCTTGGAGGTAATGCTCCAGTCATTCAAGAACCGGGTGCATCGCAACGGTTGTCCTTTGCCGTAGACCCCAGTTCGAGCAAGAGAAAGCCGCCATCTCCCGGTACTAGCGAGGAATATGACGAGAATACACCTCCCGGGAAGCCCATCATAAAGAGATTGAAGTCGGAAGGAAGGCTTGAAGATCCATCCCCTGAAATCCTCGAGGAATATAGACTTTTGGCACGAATGCCGCAAGTAACAAGACTTAATTCTGGTAGGCAGATTGACTACCCTGTTAGCAAGATGGTGTGGTGGCAGCAAGACAAGAAGACTTGGCATTTGCGGTATCCCGAAATGACACAGCGCCAGCACGACGCTTTCAGACAAGCGGCAAGGGAAGGAGGCGAGGAATTTGGCCCTGGAAAGACGCCCCTCTGGGATCTGGCAATGCAATACTTTGCTCCCGAACCTAGGCTAGAGGGCAGAAACGGCCACTCAGCAATATCCCTACCCGTCGGACTAAGGCGAGAGGATAGTAGGATGGTTGAAGATACGGTGGAATTCCCACCAACAGCGGCGCCAATTGAGTCGTCCTCAATACCCGATACCTGCCCTCCTGATACGAAAATCGTTGTGCCAGTTCAAGAGAGCCTATCAACGAACAGAGCGATTGCATTAGTGGACACTGATGCCTCTTCTTGTGTCCAAGGAATCACATTCCCAATCACCGGCTCATTTGTGTCGTTTGGCAGAGGTCCAGAAAACACGGAGAGCTTCAAGCAAAAGCA